TCAGGGAAAAGGGCGGCCTATAAATAAAAGCAATCTAATCTAATCTAATCTATACCCTTTCAGACAAATGGCTGTCCAATCTCACCTTTTAAGAGCTCCGGTGTTGGAGCAGCCACACAACTTCAAACGAAAAGCCTTTCCACTGATTAATTTGTCTGGGATTAAAAGAATAACAGCACGGGAAGGGACCTTAGAGGTCTTCTAGTCCAACCTTCTGCCTAAGCAGGACCCCCACATCACTGTCAAGTGGCAGCCTAGTTTCTTCTCGAAGGCCTCCAGTGATGGAGCATCCACACCTTCTGGAGGGAAGTTGATTCCACTGGTGAATTGTTCTCACTGTCCGGAATACAGAATAACAGCATTGGAAGGGACCTTGGAGGTCTTCTAGTCCAACCCACCTGCTCAAGTAGGAGACCCTATGCCCAGTGGTGGGATTCAAATAATTTAACAACAGGTTCTCTGCCCTAATGACTGGCTGGATGGGCGTGGCCATTGTGGGTGAGTGACAGGCAGCACTCGACCTTCTGCACACGCCCCCTGAGAGCAAAAACGGGCTGCAGGGGGTGGGGGCGCACTGTCCCCTGGGCTCCGTTTTTGGCCTAGTACCTGGGACTTATCTGGGAGCCAAAATGGGGCGCAGGAGGACTCCTGGAATGCGAGGGGTGGGGAAGGACAGGGAGGGGCGGGGCCAGCCGGCAATTTAACAACCAGTTCAGCCAAAGTGGTGTGAACTGGTTAAAATCCCACCACGGCCTATACCATTTCAGACAAGTAGCTGCCCCCAGTCCCTTTCTAAAAAGCTCCAGTAATGGACACCCAGGACTTCTGGTGGCAAGCAGTTCCACTGGTTAATTGTTCTCATCGTCAGGATATTTCTCCTTCGTTCTAGACTGAATCTCTCCTTGATGAGGTGACCTCCGTTGCTTCTGGTCCTGCAACCGCAATAGGGACCAGCAACTTGATTCTGAAGCGAAGTAATCTGGAAAAAAACACACGGTCCTAACGTTTCGTTTTTCAGCGCCGTTGCAACTTTGAACGGTCACTAAACAAACCATTGTAAGTCGAGGACTGCCCGTACTAATGCTACGCATGATGTTGAGCCTAGCTTTGCCTTCCTTCCTTCCCGTTGATGCAGAAGTAGCGACCGACGCAGAGCTGTCGAACAAGGAGAACCCGGCCGAAAGGCAGCTGAACTCCGAAGAAGGACTTAGACGTCCTCATCTCTCAACGGAGCGGAAGGACAGCCCAGAAATGGACCACCTGAGGCTGGATGCTGATGGTGGGTTTGAGGGAGGGTCTTCGGGGGCCCCTTGTCTTTTTCGCCCGGCCCTTCCCACTCATCTGATATCCCTCCCGCTGCAAAAGTGGGATGAAAACTCATGAAAAATCTCCTTGCAGAGACAACGGGGCCGACCACAAAGGCGCCCCCTGTCGTCTAAAACTTGGAGAGATGTGGATTCGAATTCAGGACTGAAATAGCAAAAATCAAGGCTGATGGCAGGGTTTATTTTGTTAACGGTGCACTCTGGAGGAATCCCCTCCAGAAAACAACGGAGAAAACGATACACTCATCTTTACCCTCACAACAGTATGTTTAGTGAGGGTTCAAACTGAAAACATCTGTTTTGTTTTGTTTTGTCCTGTCCTGTCCTCTCCCATCCTTCTGTTCTATTCTGTCCTGTCCTATTTTTCCATCCCCTCCCCTCCCCTCCCATCCTACCCTATCCTTTTTGTTCTGTTCCATCCTACCCCATCCTTCTTTTTGTTCTGTTCTGTTCTTCTCTTCTCTCCACTCCCGTCCTGTCCTGTCCTGTCCCATCCTTCTGTTCTATTCTATCCTGTCCTGTCCTATTCTTCCATCCCCTCCCCTCCCATCCTACCCTATCCTTTTTGTTCTGTTCCATCCTACCCCATCCTTTTTGTTCTGTTATGTTCTCTTCTCTCCGCTCCTATCTGCTCCTATCCGCTCCTATCCGCTCCTATCCTATCCTATCCTATCCTATCCTATCCTATCCTATCCTATCCTATCCTATCCGCTCCTATCCTATCCTATCCTATCCTTTTGTACTGTACCCTTTTTGTTCTGTCCGGTTCTGTCCTGCCCTATTCTGTCCTATCCTATTCTCCTCTCCTCCTCTCCTCTTCCATCCTCTCCTACCCTATCCTTGTTTTTGTCCTGTTCTGTCCTGTCCTGTCCTGTCCTACTCTACCCTACCCTACCCTACCCCATCCTAACCATCTCCTTTGTTGCACAGGCTCTTCTGCAGATTCCGGCTGTCTGGGCCAACACCATTCCTGGGGGGATGGAGGGGCAAAACAACCCACATCACAGGGCCCTTCGCGAAGCATCTCTGAGGCTGACGGCCAATCCGAGGATGGAAAGACAACGCCTGAGGCCATCGCTGAGAAGGAACCTCCGAAAAGTTCTCGCAAGGCATCTCCAAAGTTGGGGCCAGGTTTGTCATTTGGAAGCTTGGGGAGGGACAAAGGAATTATAACAGAATAACAGAGTTGGGTGGGGCCTTGGAGGCCTCCCCCGGGACTTGTTCTAAATCGAGAACTCCTGCTGCCGCCTTCTAATTATAACTATATTTATTTTTAGATAGGATATAGTTGCAATTCCCGGGACTCGGTGGGATGAAAACCCCCCCCCCCCCCATTAAATGTCCTGTTGTTGGATACGGCCCATGTTCACATCTGTCCAGATCTTTTGGGATCCCGAGTTTGTCTTCTGGAGTGTTGGCTGTTCTTGCCATCTTAATGTCATCTGCAAATTTTAATGAGTTTCCCTTCTCTTCCCTCATCTAAGTCATTGATGAAGATATTGAAGAGTCCTGGGCCTAAGGGAGAATCTTGTGGAAGCCCACTGCTTGCTTCCCTCCTTGTAGACCAGTGTTTCTCAACCTTGGCGACTTTAAGTCCTGTGGACTTCAACTCCCAGAATCCCCCAGCCAGCTGT